AAGGCAGCACAGTAGGACAGTGGGGGGGGGTCAAAGAATTCGCCGAATACAGGTGGAGGGTGAACGGGGGACTGTTAGGGTGGGAGTGGGAAGGGGGGGGGGGGGGCAGATGGTAAAGATGCGAGATCGCACTGCATATCTGTTCCACACGGTGCAACTTGTTTTCGTGTTTTTCTTTTTCTTTTCCGTTATTTGTGTGTTTGTGTCCGTGTGTGTGTAAGAGAGAGAGAAATTTGGGGGGGGGGAAGGGGGAAAGCTAGGGGGAAATCGCTCGAAGGGGGTTGGGGGTTGAAGGCACGAAATCGCACCAAGTGGTTATATGTGGTGCAAAATCTTGATTTGTTTTTTGTTTTTATTTTATTGCGCTCATGTGTGTTTGTGTGAGAGATAGAGAGAGAGAGACGGGGAAGGGGGGAGGCCTTTCCTTTTTTTTTCCTTGCGTCTTATTTTGTCTTTGACAGCGTGATTTCGTTTTCCTTGTGTGTGTGTGAGAGAGAGAGATGGGGTAAGGGGGAAGGGTGAGGGGGAAGAGGTGGCTAAAGACGCGAGATCGCACCACATGGCCGGTCCATGTGGCAGAAATCTTTTTGTGTGTTTCCTTTCGTTTCCTTCTTTTTGGTGTACGTGTGTGTGTGTGTGTGCGTCTGTGTGTATGTGTGCGTGAGAGAGAGAGAGAGAGCGGTGGGAAAGGAAGGGGGCAGGGCCAGGATGAGGGTTGAAGGTGCGAAATGAAGAGGGGAAGAGGAGGAGGGGGAAAGATGAGTGAAGAGCAGGCGCATGATATTTGGGGAAATGAGGGGAGAGAAGGGCAGCGGAAAGCACACTAGGACAGCGGGGGGATCAAAGAATTTGATGAGGGTGTGTGACAGTTCAGCTGGTGGGGAGCCAGGGAGGGTCAGGGGGACTAGGGCAGGTGGAGGGGAGAAGGTTAAAGGTGCAAAGTCGCGCCACATGGCATCGCACCATATGGCTGCTTGGCAAGATTTGTTTTTTTCGTTTTCTTTCTTTTTTCCCGTTATTTATGTGCATTTGAAGTGGGAAGAGGGGGGGGCGTGAGAGAGAGAGAAAGGGATGGGGTACCAAGTGGGGGGGCTCCGGGGAAGAGTCGGGGGCCCTGGGGCATTGAAGGCGCGAAGCAATTTCATTTTCCATTTTCTTTCTTTTTCTTTTTGTTGTGTGTTTCAGTGTGTGTGTGTGTGTGTGTGTGTGTGAGAGAGAGAGAGAGAGGGAGGGAGAGATCAGCGAGGGGGAAAGGGAGAGGGTTGGGAGAAGTTGGCAAGGCAGGGGGTAAAGGAGCACCACGTGGCACGATTTTTGTGTTTGTTGTCTTTCTTTGTTTCCCATTTTTGTGCAATAGGAAAGAGCATCGGTGGCATGCCGCACAAAGAGAGAGAGAGAGAGAGAGAGAGAGAGAGAGAGAGAGAGAGAGAGAGAGAGAGAGAGAGAGAGAGAGAGTGAGAGAGAGACAGAGAGAGAGAGAGTTTGCATCAGTCTGTTGCCTCCACCATCATGTATCACCTGTCGTATTTGTTTTTGCGAGCAAAGCCGCAACAGGTCATCCAATTCTGTATAAACATGCTTGCTGGTGATAAGCAACCGGACTGACGGCCCGCAGAATAGAAGGGGCAAATGTGTTTGGGAAAAAGAAAAAACAAACAAGCAAGACCCCTCATTGTGCCTCAACACCCCCATAACCGCCTTACCCCCACTATCCCCCCCTGCCTCCCCCCTTTCCCAGAAGTTTCTCAGCGGATTTAGGCCGTACTCAGCAAGCGCAGTACAGCCCCAAAGTCAGATTTAAGAAAAAAATCAGTGGATGGCTGCCTACACACTGGCCAGCAGACCACCGACCAGTCGGCCCTACAGGTAGGCTGTGAACGGTCGGCCGTCGGGGTAGGAGGTCGGCTGGGATGCAACCATGGACTTGGACAAAAAACGACCAACTCACAAGTGTGAGGCTTCAGGCCTTGATGAGCCTCAGAAAGGCCGGCCATCAAAATGAGCTCGAGCCTAAGAGAAGGCCTCGGCAGGAAAACAGCAGGTCAGCCGTAAGTGAAGGCCGCACCTTGCATAGAGCAGAGGCTGGATGCCAGGCCCTGAAACTAACTGGTAGGCCCAGCCTCCAAGTTCGTTCCGTGGGCTGGGACCTGGACTCAGGCCGGTAGGTAGCAGGGACCCAGACCTCGGTCTCCAGACATGACAAAAGAGAGGAGGCCGAGCGCAGCAACATATTCGGAGTGCTGGCGTAGTGCAGCAGCACTGGTGGACTGTGCCTGAAAGATAGCGCGGGGGAGAGCAAGCACAGCCATGCACAGCTAGCGCTGGGTAGAGAAAACGGTGGCCTTGAGTTGGAGAGGTCGGGGAGGAGAACTGGCAGTACTTACCTGGCGATGGCCTCGGATCACAAAGCGGCCAGACTCTTCAGCATTATCTGGTGAGCTGATTGGCGAGAGAGAGAGAGAGAGAGAGAGAGAGAGAGAGAGAGAGAGAGAGAGAGAGAGAGAGAGAGAGAGAGAGAGAGAGAGAGAGAGAGAGAGANGAGAGAGAGAGAGAGAGAGAGAGAGAGAGAGAGAGAGAGAGAGAGAGAGAGAGAGAGAGAGAGAGAGAGAGAGAGAGGGGAAGTAGACTTGTGTATGCAGGTAGAGTGGCAGATTACTGTAAGCGGACACCTGATAGTAAGGCTACTACGTTGTTTTTGCATTGATTAATGAAGGCAAGAAGTGGGTTTTCTTTGTGGGCAGTTCAGTGTGTTCTTTATTGGAGTGCACTCCGCTTTTTAAGAGCTTTCGCATCTCGATTTTTTTTTGTTCTGATTGGTTGGCTCCTTGCAAAAGCACCATCCACGTAGAAAGAACACACATCATCATTTACTCGGACATTCGTAAGCAGCCAAGAGGTCGGTGATTATCACCAACTTCAGGACGTCCACATCCTAACCACTGACACAGTACCTCAGAGGTTACCCAAGAGCAGACCCCATCAGCAGCACACACACAAGGACACAAAGTTATGTTGACCCGTCCGTGTGCCACCCAGAAAACCATACTGCAATATGTGTGTTATCAAGAAGCCACAAAGAACACTCCACCGCTTGTCCGACATTATAATTGACCGTCAAAGAAGCCACAGAGTACTCCCCACCCATTGTACTAAACAGACTCATTCACAAACCTGCAAACAGACTCGCTTTCTTTTCCACTTCGCACTCATGCAAACAGATGGTGAATCACACTGGCGCACAGCGCCCACTCAAAGCTTAAAGATATGGAAGTCGAAAACACAGTTCAGGTACAAACTCGCTTCAGCAGGCTATGGCGCATCACCGCCTGTACATCCCAACTCTCGCCTCGATGTCCAACACCACTGTTCACACGCACTCAACTCTGGATCACCCTGGATATCCCACACGCATACACGCCTATCAGCTATGGCGGCTATGGCCGCTGTCCCTCTGTTGGCTATGTCTAACTATCTCCTTCAGCCCACTTCGTCTTCGGGCACTCCGCAGACCACCTTGCACAAGTCGCTCAAGCATCACTTCCGCATGGCTTACGCAGGAATGAATGAATGGCTGAGCGCTGCCTCTTGATTTATACTTCTGTAACTCGTTGGTCTGCCCCTTTCCCATGCCCTTGGTGCACACAGTCCCACACGGTACTTGCTTGACTGGACTGACTGACTGGGACCGGTACCGCTGACTGCATGGGTTTGCACTGCCAACTCGATGCTGTCGCACTGCCGACGTAACGCAGTTGGGCTCACCACTTGCCCACTTGCCTCTGTCCAAACGTGAGACGACTTCGAAAGGCCACTTCCGGACCTTCTGGAAGTCTGTGAGCTTGGCCTTTCGAACACAGTAGCAGCTACGACCTTGACCCTTCAGGACTGTAGCAGCTACGACCTTGACCTCTCAGAACACCTACAGCTGCGACCTCTACAAGGCTGTGACCCCTATTCGATAGACCTACAGATCGAACCCCTACAACGAGACAGCCCTACGACAGACAACCAACTCCTAAGACACAGGTTACAGGTTCAAACACACAGGGTATACTGTACACAGGTAAGCAGGGTCTAGGGATCGAGCCCTGGGATCTGCATCCGCTACTGCGAAGGTGAAAACCGTTTCAAACCACTCTACAGTCCCATAAAGAAAGAATAACAGTGGATGCAGCCTAAGTGGGCTAGCTCGGTTGGGGGGGGGGTTGAGCATGTAAGTGGCTCTTAGGAGGTCGTGGGTTCGAGACCCAATGTCGTCCTTTCGATTAACCGCGACCTCAGTGGGGTATGCTTCGGGTTCACCAGCGGAGACGGTTGGCTTGGGCTTCTGGCTGGTTGCGGAAGTGATTTCGACACTTTCCAGCCAGTGCTAGGTGTTAGGAGCTAGGGTACTTCTCCCCGCATAGAGTAGAGGTCGTCCTGGAAAGTAGATGCCGCGCGTTAGACCCATGACCCTTAGGATTCCCTGCTTGGCCTAGTGCATATTAGGTAGTGTGAGGTAAAATGACGATGAGAGAAGAAAATAGTATAGTAAAGGCAGCTGTCCCCCGATGAGGAGAAGACAGCCTGCCTTAATTTAAAAAAAAAAAAAAAAAAAGTAATGGTGAATGCAGAGCTTAGTCACCATGCGCAATCACAGCAAGAGCCTTGTCACAATCACCTCCCTTTTGCAGCAGTCCCAGGCCCTTGAAAGACTAAGAGAGAGTGCAGAGACTGCGTGGCCGTTTGATGCACCGAACGGGACTTTTCAGGCTAACACTTGAGAAATTTAGGGTCTAGGGTTTAGGAACCTCCCAGACCAACCAGACACGAAGCGATTCATCACGCCCAATTACAGTGAGAGACGTTGCCACCACTCACATTTTGCATCACAGGGAGTCACTGCAAAGGCTAAGAGGAAGGGGTGCTTTCCTGCAAGCGATCGCGCAGTCAGGGTTTAGGGTTTAGGGACCTCACTCATCATGCCCAATCACAGCAAGAGGGTCGCTGCAACCACACACCTTTTGCACCGAAGGGAGTCGCTCCAATGGCTAAGAGGCCAGCGGCAGAGACGGCATTGCCGTTTGATGCAGCGATGTGAAGGGGGGTTTTCCTGCGAGCATTTGAGCAATTTGCTGCTGCTCTGAGTGCCATTAAGGTATCTCTTCCGGCACTCTCCCAAGTCCCCTCCTCCCAGTCCAATCCTAGCTCCACATCGAACCTGAACTCTGTGATCCCCCTCTCATCGGAGGCATCCTCTTGCCTTGTCCACTGATCTTCAACAGCCAAGGCATCATCCATGTCTTGTGTGAAAAGGGATTCACAGCCAAACAATGAGTGCTTGCCAACCGCAAACCCTCCCACATATGCTTCAAATAAGCCATCTGATGACTCCTTAAGACCCATCCAGGGGCACGAAGCATGCCTCAATCGTGGACCAGCAGGTATGCAATCCAGATACCTGCAACACCAAATGGGTAACTTGTCCCTCCTTAATGTTTGACCTTTTTCTGCCAAGCGGATTCCCTCCACGAAGTTGGCAGCCGACCACACTGATCTGGCTTCTGACAAGTCCCATACCTGGACGCCGTTCCTTTTTCCTCTTCTGCTCAATTCAAAGGCCACACACACAAACAAAGTTATTACGCTGTCAGTTTTTCACTCCTCAAATTACTACCGCTTTCTTGCTCCTATTGCCTTCTCCACCTCGAACAGATTGTACATAGACCTACAATCCATAGCTGAAGTATGCACCCACAACTGCTCTGAGATGTAAACTCACCATCCCAGGGTTCTCAATCTACATTTCTTTGAGGCAATTGCCGAGAAACAGACAATGTCAGAGAGCACATGCAGATCAATGCCCAGCCAGCTCACTTCTTCGTGCTAAGTGCACATCTTCTTTCACTCTCAGCCCCCTTCCACTGTTCTTAAAGATTTACCTGCGCTCTTGTTTGTCGTGAACCCCGTCCGCAGTATCCTCTTCCGGGAAGCAAACAGATTCCAGTTCAACATCCTCCCCCTTACCCCCTTTCCCCACCACTCCCTTTCTCCCTCTCTCACTCAGCTGCCCACGAACCTGCCCCATATCCCACATAAAGCAACACAAATTGCATGGGGACGCCAAACAAGGTTTTCTGGATGGATCGGTAGGGAGAAAATGGACTACCTCTGACACACCTTACAGCGCTCACAACAGCACCCCCAAAGAAAGTGATCTCCAAGATCTGCAATTTTGGAAGCACCTCCGTAGCCATGATCAAGGCTGACGACACTTGCTCCTGTTTTGCGTTGTCGTAACCAAGACTTTCACCAGAGCCTCCTAGAAGGAGCATTTCCAGCAGAGGACAACTGGCAGCCTGGATCTCAAGCAGACGTTCAGATTCAAAGACACATAAAGCACATGCATACCAAGAGCATGCATCAGCATTGTGATTAAATAACTTACATTACTTGCAATCACTCAACAGGGGCTCGCGACATCTCAACAGCGTTCAAACACCCATAAATTGCATACAATGCAAAAAGCCCCCAATCTGAGTCACTGTTATCCGAGCTAGTTGCTATCAGTCACAGGACTCCTTAAAGCTCTAGTCCGAGCGTACTTAGAAAGGTCGATATAAGATCAGGTATCTCAATTGCGTCAGGAAGAGGGTCGGTAATGCCTATCACAAAGTCATCTGCGTATCGCACATAGCTAAGACGTCGAAAGTTCGCGTCTGCCACTTCGTGCTTGTCGTATTGCTCCTTTAGGGTCTCATATATGTATTTGTCCGACTATATTTCCCAGGCAACGTCAAGAATCGAAAATGTAACATTCCAGGGTGCTCAGAGACTCGCGGCTACCGGGCCCCGACGGCTGGCGGCACTAGCCAAAAGAAAGAGAAAAAACACCGCACTGGCGCTTCAACGAAGCTCGGTGCGCAGGGGGACCCCACCTTGGAGAAAAAAGAGGCTTCGATGTAGAGGTGGTTTAAACCAGTTTGGACAGCACCAATCCATCTTGTCAGGAAAACGTCAACAGGAGCTTCTGACATGGCATAACAGATGTCCAGGTTCAGAGATGAATGGGTTCAGAGACAGAGAAGATGTCCCCTGCTCCTCGCTTTGTCGCTGAATGACATACCCATGAAGCACCCTTGATAAACGGATTAATAGTAACAATTACAACACCGCGAGGGGGCTAATCCCCTTCACAACAGGAAAAGGCATATGTTCAAGCACATCAGAATTCAAGTGCGGCGAGACTCAAAGACATGACTTCACAGTGATGGCATGAAAGACGGCTGGGTTCAAAAGACACGTTCAAAGGTGTCCAGGTATGACATGATGAAAGCAATCTGTGGATCGAAATCGGATCATGTTCAAAGGCAAGGATCAGAGATGTCGGCGTTCAAGCAGAACCAGTTTAGAAAGAATGACACTTGAAGGTGTTTCAACTTCAACAAATGGTCAAGTCCAAAGTAAGGGTAGGAGGACATCTAAGGCCAGTTAGGTTCAGAGACGAGGAGCTGAGAGCTGCAGAGAAGTGGAGATGGGTAGCCTCAGAGATGAACGTCCAAAAACAAGAGAGTTCAGACAATGAGAGATTGGGGATCCAGGAGATTTGCAATTTGCATCCTTCAGGCACACATGGAAAAGGGAGAGAGCTTCTCAAAGAAAAAATGCACATAATGATGCCTACTCAAAGGGCATGCAAATATTTACGATGTACATCAGATAACGAATACAATGCGCACAAGGAGAACGAGAGAGGGCATCATTGCAGTCACTTGACTCGTTTCACACTTCTGCACTGTCTTTTTTTTTCTATATTAAAAAGTCCAGATCGTAGTGGAGGCTGGATGCTAGGCCTCGGGAGGTGCATGTCATTGTACTCGACCAGTGGGTAGATCAGATGGCTTGTGACAGCCCCAAGGACAGCCTCCTCCAGGGGGCATCATTCATGAACTTCGTTTGTTGTCTAATCAGATCGAATGTTGAGCCCTGCAGCAGTGCGGCCCAGACCTGTCTCTAGACCTAGACCTACACCAACCCGTGCCTTCCTAGGGTCTCAGACAAGGGCCCCCCCCCGGGCAGACTACCATAGGGACACACCAAATTCTTGACGACAACCAGGACACAGGAGGGGTCAGAGATGTGGTCATTCCGCACCTGTATCACATCTAGCAGACTATGGGTGTCTTACCACCCTTCTACTATCAATGCGGTAACCCACCCTCCCCTGCATAAGATGAGACCCTTACCCAGAGACCCTTCCCCAGATTCATGCCCCAATCAACCCCCCTCAATGGGAACGCAGACAAGGTACCAGCCCGGAGGAGGCCCAGCCCGCAAGCATCGTAAGATAGACATGAGGCCCGCCCTCGGGAATCGTATATGCCTAACACCCAACCCCTATCACTACTCAAAGGGGGTGTAGAGAGCGGAGCCGAACCGGGAGCAGAATCGTACAATGTAAGTATGGACTCTCACTGGTGTACCAGGGGGTCGGGAAACTACGATGGTACCCAGTCACAACCATGACACACCAACAGAGCAGTGCATACAAACGAGGTGGCGCACACAGACCGGCCAACAATCTCTACACAAATTCCTACCTAACCTAATCTAGACCTAAGACCTCTACCCACCCAAACTCCTCTACCCCGCCCATGGTGAGTACACGAGACATGACCTAGAGATCATTGGACCAGACACCACACACAACCCACACACACACACACATGCACACTTTGTCGGACCACCACAAGGCCAACCACTCACAGCCGTCCCCCAAGGCCCGTTACCAGCGTACTATGACCATGAACTAACCCCTTGGGTGGTGTGCAGGCAGTGTCTGTAATAGTACCATGCTTCAGCTCAAGGGGGGGGTGTAAATGGAAGTACGTCCGTCGATGCCCACTGGTGGCCTATGCACAGGCTCGAAGGTTTGAACCTGCGCACTAATACCAGAATGCGCATTTTCAACCAGTGCTCTAACCACTGAGCCACTGGCCATTCGCCACACATGTGCACTCTCAACCACAAGAGCGGTATTCATTTCATTGCACGATCATCGGGCTTCACCCAGGTTGGCGTGATAGCTTTTCAAAGGAGAACTTGAAAAGAAGGTACTAGGAAGATCAGGTCAACCATCCAGAATTTCAGGCATATCAATCATTCTTCAATTCCAAATGAACACTTCGCCAGATTATCAGTAGCATCAGCTCCCTCTCTCTCTCTCTCTCTCTCTCTCTCTCTCTCTCTCTCTCTCTCTCTCTCTCTCTCTCTCTCTC